TCTCTCCTCTCCCTCTCTCTCCTCCCTCCCTCTTCTCTCTACCTCCCCCTCCCCTTTCTCTCTACCTCCCTCTCCTCTCCTCTCTCTCTCCCTACCTCCCCCCTCCCTCTTTCTCTACCTCCCCTCCCTCCCTCTACCCCCCCTCCCCTCTTTCTCTACTCTCCCTCTCTCCCTCTTCCAGCCCCTTTCTCACCCTCTCTCTCCTCTCTCTCTCTCTCTCTCTCTCTCTCTCTCTCTCTCTCTCTCTCAACTCTTGGTATGTGAGAGGCCACGATTTCTCCCTTCCCCTCACACCCCACATCCCCCCCTGCTCCTCCCCTCACACCCTCCTTGTCTGTCTCACCCCCTTCCCCCCCTCCTCTCCCTCTTCTTCCTCATTCGCTTACTCTCTCTCCTTCTAAACTCTCCCTCTCTCTCTCCCCCTCCCTTCCTAACACTCTCCCTCCCCCTCTCTCCACACCCCCCCTCCCTTCCCTCCTCTCCTTCCCCTCTCTCATACACCCCCCTGCCCTCTCCCTTCCCCTCTCACACCCCCTCCCCTTCTAACACCCCTCTCTCCCTCCTCTCCTCTTCTAACACCTCTCCCTTCCCTCTCTCTCATACACCCCCCCTTTCTAACACTCTCCTACACCCTCCCTTCCTAACACCTCTCTCCCTTCCCCCTCTCTCCTTACACCCCTCCCCTTACCACACTCTCCTTCCCTCTCCCTTTACTAACACACTCTCCCTCCCTCTCTTACACCCCCTCCCTTACTAACACACTCCCTCTCTCCCCCCTCCTTACTAACACCCCCCTCCCCTTAACACACTCTCCTTCCCCTCTCTCATCCACTAACACCCTCCCTCCCTCTCACTAACACACTCTCCCTCCCCTCCCCTCATACACCCCTCCTTTACAAACACACTCTCCCTCCCTCTCAACCAAGCAACCAAACACACTCCCCAACCTGTAAATATGCCTTTCTAACACCCATACAGTCAACCAAATAACCTAACCAACCAATTACGTCATTAACAGTCAACCAAACAGTCACCTAACTAATTGTACAGTCAACCAAGCAGACAGGCAACAAGCAAAAGTCCTCCTCCCCCTCTCACCTTTCCCCTCCCTCGCCCTCTCACCTTCCCTCCTTCTTTCCTCACCTGTCTTTCCTCCCTCTCTCACCTTCTTTCCCTCACCTGTCTTTCCTCCCTCTCTCACAGACACGATTTCCTCACGTTCAACCCTCTCTCTCTCTCTCTCTCTCTCTCTCTCTCTCTCTCACACACAAGCTAACCAGTCAACCGAGAAGATTCAATATAGGAATACATGTGTGAGAGGTTATGGAATGCAGGGTGGAGAGAGGGGGGAGGGGAGAGAGAAGGAGGGTTATATGCAGGGAGGGAGGGAGGATAGAAATGGAGGGATGGAAGGGGGGGGAGGGAGGGAGGGATGCTAGACTACAGGAGAGAATGCGGATCGTGGCCAGAAGGTGTGGTATGTGAGAGAAGGATTTTGGTGGACTTAATCCTGCAGGACGCCGGAGGAGGTAGATGTGAAGGAGGAGGAGCAGAGAAAGGTGTTTCCTGGGGCGGGAGGGAGGGGTGAGGGAGGGAGGGGGAGAGAGGAACCAGCAGACCGGAGCTTTCAAGGCCAAGATCACCTCAGTTATTGGTCAGTACACACACACACGCACACACACACACCTTCGTCAGCCTCGTTTAGCTCTCCCTCACACACCCCGACACCCTGGCGTGATTCCCTCCCCGGTACTCCCACAGGGCGGACCACACCCTGGGGCACATGTACTCTGGGTCGACGGGGCCCTAAGCGATGCCCCAAGGCCCTAGGGGATAGAGGGTCCCGCTTCTTGGGGCCGCAGACGCATTCCTGCACTGGTAGATCTTCCTGTTAGAAAGTTATAATTTTCTTGCGCCGTGTTCTGCCCTCCCTCCCACCCTCCCCTCCCTCCGTCCTCTCTCCCTGCATAACCCCTTCCTCCCCCCCTTTCTTCCTACATAACTCCCTCCTTTCCCTCCCTCCATAACCCCTTCCCCTCCCTTCCTCCCTGCATAGCTCCCTCCTTTCCCTCCCTGCATAGCTCCCTCCTTTCCCTCCCTCCATAACCCGTTCCCCTCCCTTCCTCCCTGCATAGCTCCCTCCCCTTCCCTCCCTGCATAACTCCCCTCCTTCCCTACCTCCTACCTTCTCTCCATCATTCCCTCTAGCCTCACCACGTCTCCTAACTGTTTCTCTTAAGTTACGACACAAAGATGGATTCTCAAAAGTTCTCAAAGGAAGTAAAGTTACGGACACATTCTCAGTGTTATGTTGCTATGGTAGCTTAAGTGAGTCAGTTAGATACGTTCTCACATCACCAGTTAGGAGGAAAATTGAACTTAGGAACCTTTGAGAATCCATCTTTGTGTGGTAGCTTAAGTGAATCAGTTAGATACGTTCTCACATCACCAGTTAGGAGGAAAATTGAACTTAGGAACCTTTGAGAATCCATCTTTGTGTGGTAGCTTAAGTGAGTCAGTTAGATACGTTCTCACATCACCAGTTAGGAGAAAATTGAACTTAGGAACCTTTGAGAATCCATCTTTGTGTGGTAGCTTAAGTGAATCAGTTAGATACGTTCTCACATCACCAGTTAGGAGGAAAATTGAACTTAGGAACCTTTGAGAATCCATCTTTGTGTGGTAGCTTAAGTGAGTCAGTTAGATACGTTCTCACATCACCAGTTAGGAGGAAAATTGAACTTAGGAACCTTTGAGAATCCATCTTTGTGTGGTAGCTTAAGTGAGTCAGTTAGATACGTTCTCACATCACCAGTTAGGAGGAAAATTGAACTTAGGAACCTTTGAGAATCCATCTTTGTGTGGTAGCTTAAGTGAGTCAGTTAGATACGTTCTCACATCACCAGTGAGGAGGAAAATTGAACTTAGGAACCTTTGAGAATCCCTACTTGAGCTTCATGGATTATAACGTTAACTCAATACACCTGGTAACTAGGGGGGTAGGAAGCGACCAGGTAGAACCAGGTACGAGTCATGGAACGGCAGGTGCAGTTTAAACCTTACCTGGCCTGTTGGTACTTGAGAGGTGGAGGGGGAGGGGTGGAGAGGAGGGGAGAGGGGAGAAAGGATGGGGAGGGAAGGAGGAGGAAGTGGAGGACGAGAAGGAAAGGAATGGGGGAGGAGAGAAGAAGGGAGGAAGGAAGAAGAGAGGGGGGGGAACAAGGGAGAGAGTGGGAGGATGGAAGGGAGAAAGAGAATTGAAAGGAGGGGCGAGGGCAGGAGAGGGGAAGGGGAGGAGAGAGGAGAGAAGGTAGAGAGGAAAGGAAAAAGAGTTAAAATTATCGTACTCAAGGGGTTAAATAATAGTACTCAAAGGGTTAAATCATCGTACTCAAGGGGTTAAATCATCACACTCAAAGGGTTAAATCATCGTACTCAAAGGGTTAAATCATCGTACATACTTACATACATACATACATAAAACCACACATACATACATACAACCAAACACACACACTTACTTACTTACGTACGTACATACATACAACCAAACACACACACACACACACATACATACATACATATATAAACAAATAACCCGATAAAATTTCAACATTAAAATTATTATATTTTCCTTTAAAAATATCCGTAGTTAATATCTCCAAAAAAAAAATTACCTGCAGTATTATAATTAGTGAAAATAGGCCCCAAAGTGGGTCCCTTAGTACTGTACTCGACCACATGGGCCCCAAAGTGGGTCCCTTAGTACTGTACTCGACCACATGGACCCCAAAGTGGGTCCCTTAGTACTGTACTCGACCACATGGGCCCCAAAGTGGGTGCCTTAGTACTGTACTCGACCACATGGGCCCCAAAGTGGGTCCCTTAGTACTGTACTCGACCACATGGGCCCCAAAGTGGGTCCCTTAGCACTGTACTCGACCACATGGGCCCCAAAGTGGGTCCTTTAGTACTGTACGCGACCACATGGTCCCCAAAGTGGGTCCCTTAGCACTGCACTCGACCACATGGGCCCCAAAGTGGGTCCCTTAGCACTGTACTCGACCACATGGGCCCCAAAGTGGGTGCCTTAGCACTGTACTCGACCACATGAGCCCCAAAGTGGGTCCCTTAGCACTGTACTCGACCACATGGGCCCCAAAGTGGGTCCCTTAGTACTGTATTCGACCACATGGGCCCCAAAGTGGGTCCCTTAACCCTGAACTCGACCACATTCATATCCCAAACTGCAAAGTCATGTACTGTACTACCCCCGGGATCGAACCAGTGACCTCGTGACATTAAGACGAGTGCAGCAACTACTCAGCCACCGCACACAAATACAATGCTAAACTAATTTACTTAATTAATTTACCATCTGAGTGTAAATACATCATAACATCATCATTTAAGTGTTTACAATAATAACACTTACCTGTAAATAAACCCAATGTAAACATGTAAACAAAATAATACACACATTGAATTCATTTACAATTCAATAAAAAATAAACAAATAAAACAGACCTTACCTGCCTTAATTAAACCTTCACCTGCCCTAATTAAACACATAACCTGCCCTAATTAAACCTTCACCTGCCCTAATTAAACACATAACCTGCCCTAATTAAACCTTCACCTGCCCTAATTAAACACATAACCTGCCCTAATTAAACCTTCACCTGCCCTAATTAAACACATAACCTGCCCTAATTAAACACCTTATCTGCCCTAATTAAACACATAACCTGCTTTAATTAAACACCTTATCTACCCTAATTAAACACATAACCTGCTTTAATTAAACACCTTATCTGCCCTAATTAAACACATAACCTGCTTTAATTAAACACCTTATCTACCCTAATTAAACACATAACCTGCTTTAATTAACCACCTTACCTGCCCTAATTAAACACCTCACCTGTCCTAATTAAACACCTTACCTAATCATTAACCTCCAACTACTACGTTAATACAAACAACTAACCTCTACACACCTTCAGACGCCTCAGTCCACCTGTAGGGATAATAGAGACAGGTTAATTACAGATAGTTAGTGTATGACGTCATTAATACATAATAGATGTATAATTACAGTAAGATGGATGAAATGTTATACGGCTGCATGTGAGTGTATATCTGTCTGTATGTATGTATGATTGTGTAATTATGTATGTAAGTATGCATTAATGTATGTGTTGTATATGTATGCTTCAAGTACATAAAAACATGTATAAACAGCCATATCCATACAGACAGAATCACAAATAATACACACACACACGCACGCACGCACGCACGCACACACGCACACACACACACACACACACACACACTATAAACGTCACTAGTGATGAAAGGAGCTTCAATAAATGACTTGATGAGACATAAACAACACCCGGTGCAAGATGTCTCACTGAGGAGGTAGGTGAGAGATATAAGGAGAGAGGGGGGGGTGATGTAGTGCAGGTAAGGGAAGAGTGGTGGTGAGGGGTAGAGGGAGGGGGGAAGAGAGAGGTGTGGTAGGAAGAGGGAAATATGTGATAGAGGAAAGAGATGGGAGGAGGTGAGGGGGGTGAGGTGGGAAGGGTAGGGAGGTTAGGTTAGCACTTTACTATGTTACCTTCTATAGTGTGTGTGTGTGTGTTTCTACTCGTTGTCTTAGCTGTTTACTCTCACTTTCTCCACTTGTCCTTCATTCATTCATTCATTCGTCTGGTCATTCAATTCATTCATAACCAATTTCAATCTTTGTTTTACATCAGAAAGTTATTGGCCAGTCGATTTTCATTCCCTGCTTTCATCCCCTTCATTCTCTAGACGCGTGTTCATTCATTCCTTCATCTGCTGACACTATTTCATTCATTTGCTGACACTATTTCATTCTTCGGCTGACACTATTTCATTCATTTGCTGACACTATTTCATTCTTCGGCTGACACTATTTCATTCATTTGCTGACACTATTTCATTCTTCGGCTGACACTATTTCATTCATCTGCTGACACTATTTCATTCATTCATCTACTGACACTTATTTCATTCACTCTTTCATCTGTACATACGAATTCATTCATTCATCCTGACAATAGCTCACTCATCTGCTGACAACACGTCCTAACCTTCACAACTACACCAAGCTGACGTCAGCTATCTTCAAACCTGGGCTGACACTCGATACTCACCGTCAGCTTTCACTTATGAAGTAATTTATGAGTGATGATTCTGTGGGTTTGATTGGCTGTACACCCCCCCGCCCACCCACCCTAGCCCACCTACCCACCCACTCGCCCTAGCCCACCTATGTATACCTACCCTCCCTAGCCCACCTACACCCACCTACCTACGCCCACCCACACGCCTATTCAGTGAGAATTTCTATGGGTCGTTGGTTTTTCTTTCTGCACACACACACACACACACACACACACACTGATATCCTCCACAGGTGACAGAGTTAAGCACCATTACAGCATTGTTTTCACCACCGCTCTCATAAACCCGGGATAATTTCACCGTGTGTTGCTCACTTGGTATTTTGACTGACTGTGTGTATTAGCGACGGGTTGATGAGGTATTGACCTACTGGTGTGAGTATTTATAGTGATGATGATGATATGTAAATAATAATAATAATAATAATAATAATAATAATGAATCAATGTAACACCGCCAACTAACAAGTTAGAGTTAGATTAAGTGAAATAAGTTAAGAATTGTCTAATCTTCAGGTGAAATAAGGTAAGGTGTCTAATCTTCAGGTGACAGGTAGTGGAGAGACAATGTAAGGCAGGAATCTCCTGAGACTCCACTGGCTCTTGTGTCAACTTAATTGAATCATTCTCACTAATTGCTGCGGGAAAACAACTTAGGTCACTTTGTCGATCTTGAGTGTGTGTTTGCAGTGTGAGAGGAAGTGAGTGTGTGGGGGGGGAGTGGTGTGTGTGGGGGAGGAGGGTGGAAGAGGGGTAGTGTGTAGGGAGGGAGGGGGTGGAAGAGGGTAGTGTGTGTGGGGGAGGGAGGGGGGTGGAAGGGGGTAGTGTGTGGGGGAGGAGGGGGGGTGGAAGAGGGTAGTGTGTGGGGAGGAGGGGGGTGGAAGAGGGGGTGGTGTGTGTGGGGGAGGAGGGGGTGGAAGAGGGGTAGTGTGTGGGGGAGGAGGGGGTGGAAGAGGGGTAGTGTGAGGGGAGGAGAAGAGGAGGAACAGCGAGGAGGAGGAGGAGACACCTGTGTTTTACCTGTAATAATGTACATACCTGCCTGATTGACACACACACACACACTCGAAATAATAGTCATCCACTTACAAGACCTACTTAACACTTAACTACCCTACATAAGTCACACTTTACGGTCTCTAAGTGTCAGTGAAAGATGGTTATAAGTCATACCAGAAAGGGCTTCTGTTCTCTGTTGTTTGTCTAGCCAGTGCAGTTGGGGAGTTGTCCGGTCTTCCTGGGTTAAGCCTCGACACTGGATCACACAGCTTGTTAGGGTGTGGGGTATGGTTGTGGGTGTGGGTGTGGGTGTGGGTGTGGTGTGGGTGTGGTTGTAGGTATGGTTGTAGGTGTGGGTGTAGTTGTGGTTGTGGGTGTAGTTGTGGTTGTGGGTATGGTTGCAGGAGTGGGTATGGTTGTAAGTGCGGATGTGGTTGTAGGTGTGGGTCACATCTTCCACACCTTCAGTAGACTCCCGCCAGGGTGATCTTAGGGCCAGTCATTATTACTAAGGTTAATCTTCCTCTCAGCTTAAGTTTTCCTCACTGAAACAACGCCAGACGAACGTTCGCCCCGTCATCTGCCCATATAGTGGCACTGTCTAAAATTAAATCTAGTTAAACTGGCGCCAGACGTACCTCCGCCAGTGTTGTGCTTGCAGTGGCGTTCGTATAAAAAAATAATCTACTTTGCCGAACCCAAACGAACTTTCGCCCATCATCTGAAACAACGCCAGACGAACCTCCGCCCGTCATCTGCCTAACACTAACAACCCGGTGAAACAACGCCAGACGGACCTCCGCCCGTCATCTGCCTAACGAGCATTAACAGCCAGGCGAGACAAAGCCAGGCAAAGCAAAAGCAGGCGAACCTCCGCCTGCCTTGTGGAACATTAACAACAGGTGGACCGTGACAAGGTTTCTGGGAACAACAGTAACCAACCATGCTAGTGGTGACGCCTGCCAACACAGAGGTGAGGGGTAGGGAGGGAGGTGAGGGTGTGAGGGGTGAGGTGTGAGGTGAGGGTGTGAGGTGAGGGTGTGAGGTGAGGTGTGAGGTGAGGGGTGGGGGGTGAGTGTGAAAGAAGTTGAAAGGGTGAGAGAAGAGGGTGAGAAGGGGGTGAGGAAGTGAGGGAGGTGAAAGGTGAGAGAAGAGAAAAAAAAGGGTGAGGGGAGAAAGGGGTGAAAGAGTGAGAAGAAATTGAAAGGGGTGAGAAGAGAAGAGAGGTGAGAAGAAGTCAGGAGGTGAGGATGAAGAAGGGTGAAGGAGGGTAGAGGGAGAAAACTTGAGGGAGGGTGAGAGGTGAGAGGAAGAGTGTTAAATATTTACAAGGAGACGAAAGATAGAACTAATAACGCTATAATACAACAACAATAACAACAATAATAACAACCTAACATAACATCAATAAAAACAAAACAACAACAATAAAACAAAACAACAGCAATAATAACATAACCTAACAACAATAACATCAATAACAAAACAACAATAAAACAAAAACAATAATAACAACATAACCTAATAAAAACAATAACAAAACAACAACAATAACAAAAAACACAACCTAATATCAATAACAATAAAACAACAAAAACAACAACAACACACTTACAACCCAGGCCGAGAGAGGGAGAGTTATACGTACATAATGTAAGTGTCTTACTTTAAGAGTGTCTCACTTGTAAGAGACAACTTGTTGCCTAAGTGAGTAGGCTTCATGTGTGTGTGTGTGTGTGTGTGTGTGTGTGTGTGTGTGTGTGTGTGTGTAAAGTGAGATATTAAGTGTGTCAGAGAGTGAGAGATAAAGTGTGTGAGAAAGAGTCAAAGATTAAGTGTGTGTGTGTGTGTGTGTGTGTGAGAGAGAGAGAGAGAGAGAGAGAGAGAGATAAAATATACAGAAAGTGTTTGAGAGAGTGAGAGATACAAAGTAAAGCGACACAAAGAGAAAATGAGAGGGGGTAAGAGGATGAATGTGGGAGTGAGAGATAGGGAGTAAGAACGACAGAAAATAGAGTGAATGAGAGAGAATATGAATAAGGGAAAGAAAGTGAGTAGGTGGAATTGAGAGAGGTAGAGTACTAAGAGAGAAAGAGAGTATGGAGGCGGGATTTGGGCGGGAATGAAGGCAGGGCCAGCCAACCAGTAGGAGCAATAAGAGAAGAGGAGAGGGGGGAGAAGAGGGGGGGGAGAAGAGGGAGGGGCGAAAGAGAGTTCTTAGAAAGAGAGTGTCTTGTCAGGGTCAAGTTTGGCATTTCCTGGCTGGTTGTTACTACCTGCACACTCCACCCTCCTGTGTAACTACCACGCCGCACCAGACGGGGTCCTACAGGACTCTTATAGTATCCTATACCATCAAAAAGTAAAGTCCCATCGTTGAAACTTGGGTCCAAAAATCCTAAATCCAGCGTATCCTCAACTAACAGGAGAAAGTAGGATGTCTGGTGCCCTTTGGTGAGGTCCTGTCTGCACATTTCATCATATTGCAAATACCTCGCACCAGACAGGATCCTTCAGAACTCTCAATGTAGCCTTACCACCATGACAAGGTCCCATCGTTGTGCCTGACACCAAAGGTCCTACGTATCCTGAACTAAGATGAGGGAATAGAACGTCTTTTGCCCTTTGGAGAGATCCTGTTAACACATTCCATTCTACAGGACTCTCAAAATATCCTCAACCACCTAGATAAATGCCCTATCGTGATAACCAGCTAAAGTCCTTCGAGTCCTCAACTAAGATTATTAAACAGAAGGTCTATTGTCCTTACGAGAGATCCTACTACAACTACCTCGCATCAGAT